GGGCATTTAATAAAACTAGAGCAGACTTCTTGGCAATCTACCATGTTCCTACTAAGCTCAACTGCGTCTTCAGTCAGTGGCTCAAGCGGTGGTAATCGATAGCAGAAGACCTGGTTTCCCTATACAGAAGAAGTGCGTTCAACTTCTATGTTTTCATTGGCCTACGATAAATTCAACGAATCCTCCATGAACATTGTTCCTTTAAAATCCTGTCGCAATTTTCTTCTTTTTTCTTTTATTCCACTGACAAATGTTCATTTCTGACCTTTTACGATTTCATGACTTTCCTTTCCTTGCGTCGGTGGCACAGTGGTTAGGACTCTCGCCGACCATGCACATGGTCCGGGGTTCGATCCCCTGCCGGCGCACACCCGATATCTATGGTCGGCCTGAATTTGGGCTACCGATATCCTTGCTGAAAGTTCCATACTTGTACTGAAAATACGGTGTGGAATCAAGCTGTAAATCGAAAAAAAATTACCTTGGGAATACACGATGCCTTTCAAACTTGTTTTTATATTTTATCGTCACTAATAGCACCTTTGAATCTACACTACAACATCATTATTATTGCTACCTGTCACCCTGAAACCAGGCCTTTTTGGTTTATTTTCCGCAGTATTCATATTGTCTCTCACACCACTGACTGCACCCATCACTGAAACCTGTGCTGTCGTTGACTCCAAACATATATATACATATTGTTTTCTTGGCTGCGATTAGAATATGGGGCTTCAACAGAACAACCGCATTTTGTACGGTTCTCTGCAGTTCTTCCTAGCTGGCACCATAACTGCCCATAGTCTCTGATCTCCTCTTCATGCAATATCCTCCATGTCAGCCTCGGACACGCGCCCAACTTACTGTTTCCTATTCGGGTCTCACTCGACTGACGGCATGACATGCAATGCCACTAGACGGTCTCCGCACTTTGTGTCTAATTCACCCCCAACATATCTGATGAGAAATAAGCTCTTATTAAGTTTGTTTCCAGTGTTCATTGTTGTTATTATTTTCTTGCTAAATGATATTAAGAATAGAGCCAAAGAAGGCGGTTGTTGATATAGGTTTCCAGCCCATTTGGAATGCTCTTCGTGGCACGCCAATTTCCTCACCCATACATAAGGACTGATTTAACACTGGTGTTCAAGTCAGAATTTAGTCCTTTGACAGGAGTGCAGAAGATTTCCACACTGATTTCAGAGTGATGAACGTCTATTCCGCTTTTTTGATTCTGATCGGTTTTAAGATCCTCATTCGTGTTGTTTCCCGTAGATGAAACGATGCTACCTAGATAAGTGATGAAAGTGACCTCTTTCGAGCTTATTCCGTTGATAATGACTAGTGCTTCTTGTTATCAGTTGGCTATTTTCATCACCCGCTTCTTCTTCACGTTCACCTGAGGTTGGATCTTCGCCGCCTACCTTTTCTGCTGACTTGTTAGTTTTCTCTATGAGTCTTAGAGTTTGACGGAAATTAGATATAAGTCACCCGTGAATTCCAGGTCTTCTAGAGTCTTCTTATTGGTTCAAAGTATTCGTGACTTCTCGCCACCAGAATCATCTGCGTGACCTCGTTCACCATATATATATATATACATATATATATATATATATTGAGGGAGAGAGAGAATGATTTCAATTCAGTTTATCTCATGTTATTATGTACCATACATATTATAAGTGATAATCAAAACTAACTGGCCATTTCTTCATACATTTATTCCCCTTTATGAATTTAAATAATGCAAGAACTACAGTTTGTTCAGAATAAAATGATACTATCGTTTATTTCGTTGGCCTTCATCATCTGCTTACAGTCCAAAGACATTATTTAGTTTATGTACAGAAACAATTTTAACATACACAGAGTTCATTTTTGAACACAAAATCAGTATATGCATAAAGTGGTAATAATAATAATCACTTTATTCCAAACAATAATAATCATACACAATGGAACTTTTTGGCGTAATGTAATCAAATAAAAGAGAGGATGAAAATATCCAGTTACCAGAGCAAGGGAAGACTGATAACCACTTCTCTCTGAATGCATAAGTCAGCTTTCAGGCGTCTGATAGTAACTGCTTCGGCAAACTAGAGGAGAATTGAACTTCTCTGCCTATTGATAATTTTGAAAGATTTCCTGACGTCCACCTCATCATCCGTATCAAAGAAATGCCAGGTAACGGCACTAGTGGAAGCGCTTGTTTCCTTGAGACGTAGGCTTTTGTTACAAGTTCAGAAAATCGTAGATATGCCATCCTTTCTGTTCTGCAAATGTAACTGTTGCCGCAGATACGTTTGAATTTGTATACACGGTCATACTTACAATGATAGGGCTATCTGTCGACTTTTGATTGCACCAAAGAGTATGTTGCCCAACAGTCGAGAAACAGCTTTGTTTGAGCCTTTACATCCTCTATATTTGATAATGAATCTTTGAGGGTAACCGTTGTTTTCAGCATCTTTTCGAGAAACATAAATCCACCCTCTAATTTCTCTGCAGAGCATGTTATCCTAGCTCTATGATGTAGATTCTTGACTAATCGCCATTTAAATCTATTTGGACCAAAACTATTATAATGTAGGCACTGTCGTTTCCTACAAATGTGTCGTCCACATGTCGACAATAACAAGTTGTTTCGTGGATCGAATGCTTTAACTTTGTTCTTTCAAGGTTGGACATGAAGATGTCTGCTAAAACAGAGATAAGTGGACTTCCCATAGCTACACCATCTATTTGGCGGTAAAGAGTGTTGTCAAACTCGAATTTACATCCATTGTAAACATAAGCGGTAGGAGTTTGAAGAGAGAGAGTGGGAGAAAATCAGAATGCTGACAAATGATCTCGATAATTTCATTGATTGGGATCTTTGTGAACAAGGAGGTTACATCAAATAATGCCATGAACTTCTTTGAAACGTTGACGTGGTTTACACTTTCAGCGAAATGAAATGAATCTTTCATGGTGTACGAAGCTAGTCGTTGACGAATAGGTTCCAGCTTCTCTGCAAGCCAACGAGCAACTTTGTGATTAGGCGAGTTGATCACCGAAAGTACAGGTCTCAGGGAGACATTTTCTGTGCGTATTTTTGGCAGGCCGTAAATGAAAGGCAAACGGGACCCTAGGGGTTTTAAATCACTATAAAAATCGTTGTCAATCAGTTTCTTCTTTAGGAGATCTCTTAATGCGTCTGTGATTCGTTTTTCAGCTGCATCTGTCGTATCTCCCTGGAAATGGTCAACTTCAAAGCGCACCGGGTCATTTAAGATAGTTTTTATCTTTTCAATGTAGTCAACTTTGTCCATCAGCATAACTCCTGAACATTTGTCAGCTCACAATATGACTATTTTGTCATTATTCTGAGAGCTTTCAATGCTTTTTCATGCTCCTCAGAAAGGATTCTGGAATATGACATTGATGGAATGAGATATTGATTTACAACGTTGCCCAGCTTAGATTTGAACAGGATCATCTTGTTCTCATCAGCTGGACTAAGGTCATTCAGTTGATAGAATAGGTCTTTGAATTGTGCTGCGATACCGGTTCTCTTGGCAGATTTATGCGGAATGTGGAAGTTAAATATGAGGGAAAGTGCTTCCATTTCATTCCTATCTAATTTCAAACTGGACAGATTACAGATAAACTTCTCAGGATTTTCTAGGAAGACATCATACAATTTCTCCTTAGTGAAGGATTTCGGCAGAGTTTTATAAAAGTTGGCACAGGTTTTCCATAGAAGGTCTTGGATGAAACTGACGAATTTGATCCTGCATCATTCCATTTTTTACTTGTACCACATATAATACACATTCTGACATAATTCTAATTTGTTTTTACTGGCTATTGCATGCTAAAAATTAATGGATTTATTATTGTAGAGCCTAAGAAAGAAGAATTTACTGGAAACAATTAACTATTCTCTCCGAACAAGAAATATCTAAAACATATTGATTAATGCTGATAAACCGTTGAATAGGGATGAAAAATATACTGATATTAAACTAAATTATTATTTGGTTACAGGATTTCATCATGAGCTGACATCGATTACTGAACCACTGGAAAATCTGGTAGCACTGGAGAGCTGTTTCGTCCTAGTTAAGGACTCTTCATCGGCACGCATTCACCAGGGTTCGAACCCAGGACCTATTGGTTACAAGGCAAGCCAGCTGGTAGACCATTAAGCCACTGGGACACAACCCAGTGGCCAGCCCATGAATTCTGGCTGCTGCCAATTCATGGCATAACGTGACCACTAGCCAATATCTTCGGCGAGTATTTGTTCTCACGTCCTACCCGCTGTACCCTACTGATCACGAATTCCCAACAGAACCCAGGTAGCTACCTACTAGAATAGAGCCAGTAGCTAGTGAGCATCTCATTGATATTCAAGTATTGGTTTGTAGGGATTTGATTGATTGGTTACAGGATTCCATCATGAACTGATATCGGTTAGAGAACCATTATTATTATTATTTTCTTTTTTGTGCCAGAAAGGATGGACGACATGGAGGTCTTGGCAGTCTTAACTTATTCACCTGAAGAAATGGAAGTAGTTTGGATATATTATAAAGAGACCGTCAACTGATTTCGCAGTTCTAGTCCTGGAGTGGAACCTAAATCGAAGGCGTCAAGTTGGAAGTACGAGGATGATAAAGGGGATCTGATGTAAAATGAAGACGTTTGGGCAGTACTGGATCCATTTGAAAGTAATCGGACAAAACTGAGTGTACTGAACATATACCAGTGAAGCCCTTTGACGCAGACGGAAATCCACGTATGAATACTACTAATATACAATACTATTAGATATTATACCCTTCATTCGTTATTCTACTGTCTTATGTATTGATTTTATCTTTTTAAAAATTATTGATTACTTTCAGGATTTCAAAAGAAGCATATTGCTATCAGCCTAAGTTAATGAAGGATGAATTAGTTTGAAACGCATAAGTTGGTCTTCGTATCTTCGCAAATCATTCTGGAAGTCTTAAATGTTTCTTCTTCTTCTTTTTATCTCTCAACAGAAATGTACAGATTTATTCGAGTGTATACCATTAAAAGTGCGAAAGGTAAGCATCTATAATTATGATGAAATATGCAGAATTTCATTGACAATTTAAATTGCATTCTTTCGTTTATTTGAGTATTATTTAATCGATTTTTATAATGTTAAGGAACAGTAGCCAGTTCGAATAACCCCTCAAATGACACCCTGGACAATTAATTACTGGCAAAAACATTTTAATAAACCGAATTTAGGAAAGTAATATAAAGTGTCTAATTTTATGCAGGATAGTTTTCTGACACATGTTCTGATGAGGTTCTGGGAATTTTAAAGAGTTAGTTTGTTAGGATTTAATTTGTTTCACGTTTGACCACGGATTGATATTAGTGAGAGAATCATTGAAAACCGGTACTGGAGTACTGGATAGCTGTTTATCGTCCTAGTTTGGGACTCATAGGAATTACACACCCAGTAGGATTCGAACCCAGGATTAAGTTATGGGAATCATTAAATATCCAATGTACTGCATTCATAATTAATGATTTAACTGAGTGTGAAAGTCTTTACAAAGATTGTTTGTACTGGTTGCTATCCTTCATCTTTTTCTCATCTGGTTAACTGTGATATCCTTAAGAGAAGAATTTCGTCATCTCTCAGTAGAACATTCTTCTCTGAAACTCTAAGAGTAGTTTTCTCCAGTTATCCATTGGTCTGAATAAGCCTTGAGGATAAGATTTCGCCACCTGACATATCAGTTCACCTGTCCTTGTGCAGCCAGGTCCATTGGTCTTTCGACGGGTATTCTCTCCAAAACGGGTTTAAGAAAACTATCCTGCATGGTTGCAGAAAGGTGGTAGAGCTCTATTAGGAGTGCGATAATTGGACACCTTGTCACTACTGGTCACTGTGACTCAACAAACACCTCCTTCAAAGTAATCTACTGAGTGAAGAACAGAGGTGACACTCTTGTCTCTCCTCCGTATTGGTGAAGCTTTAGCCATTCATTTAGAGAAACTGGATCTATACATACAAATGAAAACTACTCAACCATTTCTACTATCATGGTAACAAACTTGATGTTTTCTACCAAATTGATGTTTTTTTGTTTATTTTCTAATTCTGTACAAATCATCTATTTCCTTTCTAACCTCTGCATAATTCCGTATTTCGCTTCGTTTCTATGTGCATCCTGATTACAATTCATCCGCTAAAGTTGTTCATCTTATAATGCAACTCTAATACACCTATTCAACTCCTTTTATGCACTGATTAATATATGCACGAGTATGTTTGTGACTAATTGCCACTTCTGTCACCGCCCTCTTCCATGTGAAGGAGATTGCATATAGAACGATTGTACAGAGAAAGAGGAGAATAAATTCCCCGAAAAGAACCTCCTCTCTGAACTAAGTGTTTCGCTGACATTAATGTCTGGATGAAAATTACTCATGAATAAACTGTCACTCATGACAATTGATAAGTTATTATTTTTTGGATATTATAGAAGGAAGTGAAAGGTGCGTCGGTGGCACAGCGGTAGAATGCTCGCCAACCACGCATATGGTCCGGAGTCCGATCCCCGGCCGACGCACTCCTTTACCTCACTAAGCCAGTAATAAAACTGGTAAAGGGGGAAAGTTGGGCATGAGGCTAGCAACCCAATCTCGTAAAAATAAAACACCACTGCTAACGAAACTTCAAGCCTCTAGCTTAAGGCCCTATTTTCCACTGGGAACGTACAGGAATAAAAACAAAAGTAGAAGGAAGTAATATCATGCATGAGTATTCTGATCGACACATGAATATCTCATTCAATTTACTAATGTTGTTTTTTATAATGATGAGCATTATTTTGATGATTTATTTAACTTATTAGTACCTCAAAATCAATTCTGTACAGGATATCAGTTCAACACGTAAGTATGTATATTATTTATGTGACTTTTTTGAAAATGGGCCCAAAATTTTAATGCATCATTCATAGGATGGTTATTTCTTTTGGTTTGACAGCTTTTCAACACTGAATACATTTGAACCTGAGAGGGATCTATTCTAGTAGTTTCTGATTACGAGACGTGCTCATTGTTATTCTGAGAGTTAGCTGAAATGAAGTTTTTACCATTCTCGATATAATAACATTAACATTTTATGTGATAAGTTGTTAACTTTCATAAAACCCGATTTATTATTTGAAATGGTCATAAGTTGTCGCCGGAACTCCAGGATACTCTCTAATTTTCAGTGATCTTCGTAGCTAACAGTAGCTTATGAAATATGCCATCTGAAACATTGAAGCTGAGTAGTATATCATTTAAAAGTGGTTCAACTATATTTACACGAATTGTAATTAAGATTTGGCGGCATAGTTCCTCAATTATGGGGCTCCGTGTGAAAAGTGAACATATATAAGATTATACTTGTATGAATCTCAGAGTGATTGGAATAATTAGTTCCCTAACTTTCGGGATCTCATTATGAGCTGACAGCGGTTAGAGAACCATAGGAAATCCACCAGCGGGTACCGGACAGCTGTTTCTTTTGCCCTAGTTTAGGACCCTTCTTCAGTGCCTACTCTCTGACGGGACTCGGACCCAGGATCTCCCAGTCACAAGGCGAGCTCTTACCCCATTAAGTCACTGGGACCCGATCCAATGACCAGTCCATGGATTTAAACTTCTACCAATTCACGCTAACCGACACATAAATATTCTTAAGTTTCGTTTAGGGCAATAATCACAATTAAAATAACACATCTTGTCTTGAAAATCTTTGTCCCATCATGTCTGAATCATGAACAGCCATCAAAAACAAAAACAAAAAATAAATAAAATTACATCACCTGTGACCAGAATTTGACTACAAACTTATTATCAGTCTCTTATTCACTGTAAACAGTGTTACTCTTTTACGTCAGGCTTTGGTGACTACATTCGAATAAAGGTCACGAGGTCATGGATATCTGAATTAGAACAATATACATGCGATATGGAATAATGTGTGCATGAGTGAACAATAATTGTAAATCATTTGTTAGCATTTCCAAAAGAAGTAACGTATACTCGGGTTGAAAGATTAGGCATGAGAAGTGGGGATATGTATCCAATTCATTAATTAATAAGGACTTGCCATAAATCACCTAACATTACACCTTTACGCTTATTGAAACTTTTGAGATTCACTGTATCCGCAGGGCAGTTCTCTTTAGGCAGTATTTCTGTTTTGCCACTTGACACTTGATATTTACATATATATATATATATGTACAGCTTGTTAGTAAATTCGTTGGAAAGAGTCTTGTAGCCGAATATCTTGTTCCTAAAAAATGATGCAGTCATACTCACTGAAACAAAACTTTGTGACTTAAATATTGTTAATTCCTTTCCTATCTGTCCCTTGTCATTCCATCTTTTGTGTTAAAAATTCATACTACTTATCTCGAGTAAGTAGTGTAAGGTGTAATTATATGTCAGTAGTTTATACACAATGATAAGATTTTTGGCAATATTTCGGGCAAAATTACTGCGTGTGATCACACTAATTGTTGAAATTGTCTTGTTTTTAATTATAATTTCTTTGATCTATTTCACAATACTCAAACATTTTAGTGACATTCAGTGTAAGTTCAATTTGTTAATTCCCAACCATGCCTTTATTTACTATTGAAGTTTAACTCACTCGATGTATTACTAATCTATTAGATGTATAATAATTATTTTCTTATAGTCGAACATTAATTGCTGTATATGCTTTATTCATGTACCCATTACTGTTGAACAGTGTTCATCCGTATCCCTTTATTCTGTGTCTGGCATTCGCGCGTTGTTTAAATCACGCGTGGATCGCCTTTGACTTAGCTCTGCTGTTTTTACTTACTGACGTATGTTGACTGTACTTTTTAACGGCATCCAGTCACAGTGACCTCCCAGTTGAGGTTTGTATATCATATTTCATGTTTGATGTCTAATATAGTACTGTATTTTAGACAAATCCTGTGATTTCGAATTTTACGCGTCACTCAACGTGTCGTTTAAAAAATCGTTCAGTTATTGTCCCGAATTTCTTTTCGAAGAAATTCATAAATATAATCCAATTGTCATTACTATGAAAAAGCCACATGAACATTAGTAAGTAGACAGATGGGTGCTCATCGGATTCTGTTAGTATGGTTTTGTAAATGCTAAGTAGTCTGAAATTCTTAACATTATAACACATACTCTTTGACAGTGGTTGATCACAAGGAAGAATTGATTTTTGTCTAGTCAGTAAGTTGTACCAGTAGCTGTCAACAAACCAAGCCTACCCACAAATCAACTTCAAAGTCGACTATGTAGGAATACGTAGAAATCTTATGATGAGTTAAACCTCCCCAAACCGCAGAATCACTAGTAATTCATGTGTTAAATCCTGAACTCTACATACTAAAGAAGTTTGTTCAGTCATTAAATCTACAGTAAACCTGATCTATTACTATTATTTTCTTCCCTCCACCCTCTTTAATTTCTACCACTTAATACCACTGTTGTTAACTTGACTCTGGTTCAGTTTTGGTTGAATTTCACTCAATCCCGTCAATTATATTACGTCACTCAGCTTACTGATGTAATTTTTGTAGTTTCTACCTGATTAGCACTTTATACGTTGCGTAAGTTTCAATCTGAAATTTACAATTCTAATGACACATCTTTGGAAATATTCGTTTTGTTGCTAAGACAATTTTATATATATATATGCGACTGTACAGCTTGAGAATGACATAGGTGAAAAGAGTAACTCTTCGCTGTATGCCTTCTACTTTAAATTATAATGTTCAAATAACTCAAATTTGTGTCATTTAATGCCATATTCAGAAAGATTTTTGATGGTTGATGAAAAAAGTGATCATAGTCTGAAAGTAGACGATATAAAACTTCAGCTGACCTTACTGAGGTGACCCACTTAATGATGTCGATTCACCTTATCCAAGAAATACTGTTATCTTTAAGCTTGGAGATCTGAGACAATGAGAAATATTGAAGAAACAACAAGCCAGCTGTCATGAACTTTTCACAGATGCCTCATAAAGAT